TATATATATATATATATATATATATATATATATATATATATTTATATATATATATATATATATATATATATATATATATATATATATATATATATATATATATATATATATATTTATATATATATATATTATATACATATATATATATATATATATATATATATATATATAATATATATATATATATATTATATATATATATATATATATATATATATATATATATATATATATATATATATATATATATATATATATATATATATATATATATATATATATATATAATATATATATATATATATATATATATATATATATATTATATATATATATATATATATATATATATATATATAATATATATATATATATATATATATATATATATATATATATATATATATATATATATATATATATATATATATATCACTCATTTTATATCTATGCGTGGGGCATTACGCTTCGGAAATCCCGTACACCTTACCTGGAAATCGAAAAAATATACGGAAATCCTCAAGAAATTCTTTGAAAATCCGGAATTCTCCTGGAAATCCCAAGAATCTTGCAAATGTTCCATGCAGCGTTCTTTTTATAAAATCTTGGTAATATTACTAGAGATGTCTTGACAGAAATAGGTAAAAAAAAAGTGTCATAAACTTCGACAAACACCTGAGCAGTTGAAGGGCTGAGTGCTGTGTTCAGGCCAGGAACTTTTCCTTAGTTGCCGTGGAGCTCGATTTGTAAACTCAACCTTGATCAGACTCAGAATTAAATGTAGATTATAAAGGTGTGCTCCACTGATTAGATAATAGCACAAGTGATGTGTGCCAGGCTGTAGGCGAAAAAGACAACCCTTACCAAAAGGTCTCTGAGTACCCCCATCGAGTAATCTTAAGGTTCTAAACTGCAAAACCATGTCACGATTTTTAAAAAACGCAGTTTTCAAATAATGCCATTTTAGAATAATGTTCATGCCTGAAATCGATTTATCAGAAATCGCTTACATGGTGCCATAGTAATATGCTTGGCAAGCCTGCGTGCATATTTTCAAGCGATTTGATTGGCCTGTTGGGTAAACAGACATTTTAGCACCTACCAGTACTACGGAATCAAAATAGAGCAAAAATTGCCGGAGAAACGATTACGCATGTCAGGCAATAAGGCTTATTTTTAAAACATCTACGATGATTTAATTATTTTAAACGCCTTTGAAAACTTTGGAAATCCCTCGGCAAATCTGTCTGGTAATCCGGAAATCCTAGTAAATCTTTTTGGGATTTCGGAAATCTCAGAAATCTCGTACGCTTTTTAGCGTCGTGAAATGCCCGTCATGTATATGGCATTGTGTGTTAAAACCTCGATGATAGTTAAGATGAACATAAATATATTTACATAATATTATGAAGTCATGTGGCGTGATGTTCTAACATAAATTACATTAACAATGCCCTTTCTTATATTAATTTCTGGCCATGGGAATACACCAACCTAGACCTTCACTACAGTAATTTCTACAATTTTAGAATTGATTAAACTCTTTAAGATTAATGTCATCCAGCTGTTGGAAGCTGGTTTCTTTTCTCAAAATTTTCAATCTGTAGCAAGATCGTCCAAGTCAAGGTTTCCAGAGCTTCGACAGACAGCTGAAGGGAAGAGAGTGCCCTGCCATGGCCCCCGAGCGTAGCCCCTCCCCCCTGTAGCCGCCCCCCCCGACCCCCCCCCCCCCCCCCCTAGAAGTGGTAGAGGCTGAAGACGAGGAGGCGAAGGATGAGGCCGAGGAGGAGCAGTGCCGGCTGCGCGGCGATGGCGTCCCGATGTCGGTCAGGAAGGTGCTGATGGCGTCGGCCAGGTTCTGGGCCAGGGTGGAGAAGGCGTCGTTGACCTCTGTGGTCAGCCTCGTGTTGGGGACTGGGTTGGAGAGGGCTGCGTACTGAAGGTAGTCTTGGTCGTAGAGGTAGTCCAGATTGCTACTTCCTGGTGCAGGTAAGATCGAGGGATCTTGGTCAAGGTAAGTGCTAGCCCCCAGGTCTACTCTGTTTAAGGTTGGTGAAGCTTGCAAGGCATTCAGCCGCTGGAGCAGTTGTAGAGCCTCAGCCAGAGTTTCGTAATTGGGGTAAAACTCGGGTTTCGCAAAGCCATCGGCATCGGCCTGGGAAACTCTGTCGTGGATGAGCTCTGAAGGCGACATCGGGAGCAGTTCGGAAGAAGGAAACAGGAAGGAGCCTTGCTCGCCATTGGCGGAGAGATCTAAGTCCGTGCCCAGAGGCAGCTGTGAGGTGTCGAAGAAAGGGTGTCCGAACGCATTGACAGCCAGGCTTGGGTGAGGAAGAGCCTCAGCTTGTAAGGAAGGGCTCCTGTTGATATACTGCGGGACGGGGAGGATCTCCGGGAGGCCCTCTGGGGAATCGGAGGCAGGGGGCGGCAGCGGGGACTGATTGGCCGACTGGGAGGGTTGGGCGCTTGAGGTGATGGCGGACGCGGGCGTGAGGTGGTG